TTTTTAATAATTTGGGTTTTTATAGGATATTTTACGATATTATCCTTCTGAGATGGGTTAAATAATAGACACGTGGTGAATTCTGTCACTCAGTGTAACGGAAGAGGTAAAATTATTAACAGAATAAAATTCAGGGAGAACAGATGTTATCTTTTAAAATTCAGAGAGTAAAGCGTCACAGAGATCATAATTTAATGGAAATTGAAATTAATCTTTAAAGAAAATGGAAATGAAAAAAAATTGAAGAAAGACAAATTTTTTTTAAAAATGCTTAAAAACATGTAATAAAAAAAATTGCAAGCAAGCTGTTGAAGTACCAAATTTTGTACTCCATCGGCTCTTCTATATATAGAAGAAATGACGTGGGATGCATGGGATGTTTGGCGTTGGCCAACCAAAAATGGTAATATTTTCTTTTGCGAAATAATATTTTTTTAAAAAAAATACAGAATATTATAGGGTGTGACTCAGTAGTCTCCACGTGTTGTGTCGGAAGATAGCCATCCTGCTTTGCATCCGTACATTTTGGGGCCCACGCCGAAGTAAATTATAGCACAAAGTGGGGCCCACGTCGAAGTAGACGCCGTTAGTGTCCAACGCCGTTTAGCCTCGAGCTGTGCAACCGGGAGCAGTGGTTAGTGCCTTCTAAATACCTGCCACAATTTTTATCATATTAATATTGTACATCGAGATCATCACCCTTATTTTTTATCATTTCTTTAAATAATATTTACTGTTATCACAACAATTAAACTAGATTAATCAATGAAACAGTATGGTATAAATAACCATCACAAACGTTGAGAAGGAGGATTCGTGTAATAATTTAAATCATGATTCGTAATTTGTTATAGTATTTTTTTTATAAAAAATATACGTAAAATGAGAATGATTCTGATGAAAATAGTTCTGAATCCATAAATCAAACTACCTTTCATTTTTGGGGGAAAAATCCTCTTCTTTTTCAGGGAATTAAAAGAGTTTTCTTCATGGCACATATAAACTAAAATTTCATGCTTCCTTTCCTTAAAAAAAAGATATTAATTTTTGTATGTCTTGTGTTTTAGATTTATTTAAAAATTATACTTTTAATTTTATCTCATTAAATATATACATTTAAATTAGATTTAATACAAAATTTATACATTTTCACAGTCGATCATCGATTTTAACCTTGAGAATACCTAAAATGCCCTTATATAAAAATATAAAAAAAGAAAACAAACCTTAAAAAACTCTAAACTCACAAATTTGACCTCTAAAATATGTAAAATACCATTCAAATGGTTTTTTTTGTGTTATTAATTTTTAATTATCATAATATTAGAAAGTTTTAGTGTTTTTTCTTTTTTCTTAAGGATAGTTTAATCATTTTAAAGGTCAAAATCAATTATTGACCGGGATAAGAGATAGATTTGTATATTAAATATAATATGAAGGTATATATTTAATGAGATCAAAAATTAAAGGTATAGATTTTAAATAAACTTAAAACACATGGTATAAAAATATAAATATCCCAAAAAAAAATTTCCTAAATGATGGGTTTTAACTAATTATAAAGTTAAATGTTAATTATTTTCCCCAAATATTAAAAACAATTTGAAAAAACAAAATTTAAAGTTCAGAAGTTAATAATTCGTGATTTTTGTTTTTTTTTCTTTCCCTCCAGAAGTTCAATAGTTAATGATGTGCCTATTTGTTTGGAAGGATTTAGATGGGTTTAAACCAATAACTAATTTTTAAGTTTAAATTTTTGTTTGGTTGCATAACATTTTTAACTTGTATTTGGGTTTAGGATTGAGGTTAAACTCAATCGCATCCCCTTAAATTTAAGGTTCTAACTCATTTTACTATTCAAAATTCAACCTGAATATTCTCACAATCATTTTCACTCACATTTTTAAAAACTCATAGTTCTAATAATATGACCAAACATGTCACGCCCCCCCAAATAGGATGGGTGATGTGGAGCTCAATTTGAGATTAATAAAGCAGATTCTCAACCGGGCCCCACACTTAACTGCATTAAAATATAATTAAATTACATAATTCTGGAGCCTCTGACACACAGGGCTCCACCCCACAGGACATACGGTATCGTACATACATGAACATGTAAATAATCATTACAACAGACATCAACCACAGTCTAGTTAATCCAAATATTACATAAGTTTACAGGATTCTCAGTTCCTTACATTTATACCCGAGGATGACCACAATCCTTACTTGATTCTAACAGCAGCACAACTCAGCTGCTCCGTAGCAAATGTCCAGCTACTGTGCACCACTCCTAGAATCTCCTGGGAGGGGTTTAATACATTTGAAAAATAAAACGTGAGCGAAAGGCCCAGTAGGATATAATTTGGAATAAACGTTATAAATAAATGAATAATAAATGTGTGAGGGAATACATAAATGAATAAGTAAATAAAATAAGACATTCAGTACCGACAGAACAGCCGGAACCTCACATCCTTTTTCTCAAAGGAAACAACTGTAAATAACCGTTTTACAGGCTTCAGCAAGTAATTAGTACAAATTACTTACCTAACCAAGTGCCTCGCCTACCCGGACCGAGTTTCGGGTTCTACCCTCGAGGATGCACTCTCCGCATCCTATCTAGGCTTACAGCAATAGACTCTATTACCAGTTCACAAGATCTCTTTGCTTAAGAAATCATTCATTAATATTTTGAAATCGTTAATACGACTCCACGAACTACTCAAGCCGTGGGCCCCATGACTGGACAAGCCATGAGGTTCCATGACTAAATAAGCCATGGTTTTCAAAACGTTTTTCTTTCGCAAACCAATCCCTTTCTTTAAAACATTTTCAAGGCCGAAATCCTTTTTGAAAACATGCTCACAAGGAAAAGGGATAGAAATCCTACCTCGCACTATCAAACCTGGGACTAGCGTTGCCTTTTCCAGCTTTCGCTTCCTCAAGCCCCTTTCAGTCTGAATCCTCAGCGATCTCTGATACAAAACAACACTTTAGGATTAATTCTCATTCCTAAAGCAATCCAAATCTCAATTTTCAACCAAGATTTCTTATTAGTGTGTCCTAATCCATTTTCATGTTTCAAATTATCATTCTAAGGGTTTTCAATCTCAAAACAAGGATTAAAGATGCTAATCCATTTATCTCAAGTCCCCAAATGAAGCTAATTTGGGTTCTCCCCGAAAACA